CGACTGTTGACGCTGTTCTACAGTCCACCGCCACCCTACCGACCACATTCACGAGATATGTACAGTTGTCCAACAATCCTGGGTCTGTACCTGACGGTTCGCTTACAATACATTTGGTGATGTACAAAACATTCTCATTATGATTACACTGCGTTTTGGTGCGCCAGTGTAGTGAAGCTTGAACAGCATTTTGCCAGCGTTCGCCGAATTTACCACGGACAACATTGGGTTACGTTTATGTCGAAGTTACACTTTCATAATATCTAGAAATTTGTGGGCATTCCTTGGTCTGTCTGGGTGCTCGTGCAGTATTGTCTCTCAGGTACAATCGACGCACCTGGTGGTTGTGTCAAACCACCTGACTGATGCGTTAGGAAATTCTACTGTTCGGAAATCGAAAGCCTTCGGGCCGTATAACATAATATCGATACGACGAGAGGTTGTACAAACCGAAGCCATGGAAGCGAGACCAGAAAAATCGCTTCACGGTGCATAACATCCCACTCAACCGTTTATTCTGAAAAGAAAGCGAATTCCCGTGACCTGAAGAAAATAGAATTACCACTTGTTTGTGGTTCGCAAACGAATGTTTTTCCCATTCGCCTCAAATATTCTCCTCGCCGACTTTCCCTCCCGTGGTGAGCGTGGAGGCCTGTCAAAACAAACATCACTTCCGGGTTGCAATATGCTGCTGCTGGTTGTTGCACGAGGCGCGATTGCCAGACAGCCTCAGATCCGTACAAGCAGTGGCTGCGTGCCCGACAATCGAAGACACGTGACGATCCACAGCCTTCGGCATCATGGATAGGAGCTCTCGATGGAGATCTGTACTGTACCTCCTGCCACCGCCATCCGCGTCGCATGTCATTTCCCGAATAGCACTGTGGGAGGGAGAGATGGACGGTGGAGGAGAGAGCGAGGATGAGAAAGAGCAGGGGAAACCGGGAACTATTTGCTCCAAGGATGCGGGGATGGGGGAAGTTGGAGAGGGAAGTGGGGGAAGAGGGACGAGGGGGAAGGGGGAGATTATGGATCGAAGCGCAGGGCCATCGGCGGCGACTGAAAGTCGGTTTGCAGGTGCCTTCCACTTGACGAAATCGCGCGCATCGGCGGAAATCGTGTTTGTCTCAAAAGAATCGACCCAAATTGCTCCCCGCTCGCCACGTGGGCGTTTTTCTCAATTGATTCGACCCCCTTTCCCCCGGCCCCCCCACCCCGTTTTTCCCGCCCTTGCCCTCCGAAATTCGGGCACCCGCTGGAATTTCGTGAAATCACAAAAAGTCACGAATACATGCTTTTTACATCATGCCAAATCCACCATGTAGTTGTGGTATGCCACATCAGCTTTCGCAATCGATAAGGGCGCGTGTCTTTTGGTGTAGAGGTTCAAAATTAAGGTCGACCTTTTGGTGGTAACCGGCTTCGTTAATTTCGTTGAAAGCTGTTTGCGATAATCGTGTTTCCAAGTTTAAAGATTGATGAAACAGAGGGACAATGAACTGGGGTCGAATTTTCACGTGCCCGTTTAGCCAAACGTGTGTTCTTCTTTTCATGCACAGTGAATCTGCGACATTCGCGATAGTAACGAACGACATCGTACCTCGTTACTTCATCCGGTTTAGTTTACGAGCTACGTTTTCAAATCGGGTAACCTACGAAACTGGGGCGCGACTCGGGTTTTACTGTATAAAGTCGAACTTCTGAAGTCGAACTTTGATGTGCCATGTGATTTTCCGCAGCCCGTTTGCGTGCAGATCCAGTCTTCCTTGCTGCTGCCAATAAAAATAAGAGGAATGGCAGGATCGAGGAGGATGGGGAGGAATAGCAACAATGCTTTCGGCAATGCAGCTGTGGAGATCGAAGAGCAGGTTAGTGGATGAGGTAAGAAAGCGAGAAGGAATGCGCATAGAGATCTGATTGTTACGTTTATTGCTTAGCCTGTACACTTTGCCAAGGTTGAGATTCCATTTGCCTACATTATTCTGTCACTAAGTGATAAAAGCAACATGATACTTATCATAATGCTTGCCACCACAGAGCGAACAGAATAAAGAAGGTTAATAGATGAGGAGCTTCTTTGCCCGGTCAGCAAGATCAGCGACGGTGTGAATCCAGCGACACTTCTGACTTTCCCGGGTGAGCATAACCAGTCCTTTCACCACATCCGTATCGCGACTCGGGACCCAAAACTTGAGATACTCGAGTACAGGTCGACCTAGGTTCAAACGTAAAAAATCGACTAGAAAACATGAACTTTGCAATAAAATCCAAAAGACACGCGCCCTAATTTTGGCGGTTGCTTCTCAATCTCAGGAGGCTCATATGCACGTTGATTGTATCGTATTTTTTTGGATTAGCCCATGCCAGTAATGTAGATAAGGGCGCAAAAAAAAAAAACACATGAAAAATCAACCTACAGTTTCTTTATGTTTTCTATATATCTACATGAAGCGTATTCCAGAAAAACTTAAAAAACTAAGAGTTAAATTTCATAAATTTTTTATTATAATAGCTCCACGGCAAATAAAAATAAATGTATTTTGAAATAGGTAGATATTTTGTTTTATTGTACTTCTTGATATTATTTAGAATAAAAATATGTACTCGTATTACAAAGATTAAAAAAATATGTTACTGCAGTGGCACATAATTAATATAATCCATATTACTGCTAAATTTATCATTAGAAGTCATAGGTGTTCTGTCCAATCAGATGTCGCTCGCATGTTGAAATCTTAGCGTTACGAAAAAACATGTATTCGTGACGTTTTGTGATTTCACGAGATTCTAGCGGGTGCCCGAATTTCGGAGGGCAAGGGCGGGAAAAACGGGGTGGGGGGGCGGGGGGAAAGGGGGTCGAATCAATTGAGAAAAACGCCCACGTGGCGAGCGGGGAGCAATTTGGGTCGATTCTTTTGAGACAAACACGATTTCCGCCGATGCGCGCGATTTCGCCCTTCCACTTGGTTTCTGCGGCCGACTCGGACCGACCGGATCCCCGCGGATCATCATGGCGATAGTACGTCCCCCCCATGGCGATAGTACGTCCCCCCCATGGCGATACGTGTAGTACGTCCCCCCCAACTGCCCGGGAAGAGCTCCGCCATGCTCCGTCCCCCAGCGAATCATCATCGATACGTATCAGGCGACGATCAGGCGACGATCAGTTCTCGCGCCTCTCAGGCGACCATCTGCTCTTTCACCGCAGTGCGCGCGCCGATACGAGGCCGGAGCTCGAGCTCCCACGCCACGCTCCGCCACGCCACGCTCCGCCACGTAGTAGTACAGTATCGCGCCGCCTGGCACATGCGATCACTGCGCGCGCCTATCGTGATGCGCCGATCGGCGATCATGATCCCGCGCCGCAGTTACGATGTCAGCTTAAATAGTACCCTGTCGCGAGGACGAATCACTCGTTACTCCTTCCATTACTCGTTTTGCCAAGAAAAATTCTCCGCTCGCCCGCTCTATCAAGGGAAATTCTCCGGTCACCCGCTCTATCAAGGAGAATTCTTCATCCACCCTCTCTGTAAAGGGATATTCTCCGTAGGCTAGTAGCGCCTCGCCAGCTTTCCAAGCAGCGCGCTGTGTCACCTGTTTACGCCAATTCCGCCGCCGCCTCTCCATCGGTAGCGCGACCCGCACGCTCGTCGTCATGTCGCGCCGGGGCTTTCCGCCAGTTGCGCCGCCAGCGGCGGTTCTCGTTGTTCTTCTCCTCGTCGCAGCGGCAGCTGGCGGCGCGCGCGGATTGCGCGGGAACGCGGTGCAACCCCGCAAGCTGGCCGTTGGCGGAAGCGGCGGAGACTCTCCGCGGAGGAGAGCGGCGGAGCTAGTGAAAGAATCCGCCCATGCTTCCGCAATGACGGAGGCGCATGTTCCGCCGCTGCAGCTGATTCTGGCGGAAGAAGGCCGCGCGGAGGGCGCAGTGTGCTTGGACGGGTCGGCCCCAGGGTTCTACTATCGGAAGGGCTACGGCTCGGGACAGAACAACTGGGTGCTGTTCTTCGAGGTGTGACTAAAACGAACGACTTCTCCGTCTTCCCCCCCAAAACGATTTTTGAAGGAGTCCTTTCAGCTGTAACCGCACTCCGACCCTCCCTCCTACTCTCTTCTCTTTGATTGCCCTCCATCCCCTCAGCTGTTCATTCATTCTTCCCCTCACTTTGTTTACCTTCCATTCCCCCTCCTATCCCTTTTCCCTCCCCCTTCCTCCTCCCCCTTCCCCCTCCCCCTTTCCGCGCCCGCCATTGCAGGGCGGCGCGTGGTGCGCGTCCCCGCACGCCTGCGAGTACAGGGCGCGCATGCACCTGGAGTCCGCAAAGCATGCGCGCTCACACCCCCTTCCCCCTCCCCCCTCCCCTTTCTCCCCCAAATGCCAGGGCGGCGCGTGGTGCGCGTCCCCCCATGCCTGCGCGTACAGGGCGCGCATGCACCTGGGGTCGACGAAGCACGCGCGCTCAATAGGGGAGATGCTGGATAAGCAGAACGGCAGCATGCAGGGCATGCTCAGTGGCAGCAAGACCGTCAACCCTGGTGAGAACAAGCCGCTGCTGCACTACACCGCACCGCACCGCACCGCACCGCACACTTGATGCGCAGAACGGCAGCATGCAGGGCATGCTCAGTGGCAGCAAGACCGTCAACCCTGGTAAGAATTGTTGGTACTTCCTACACCGTACTGCACCGCACCGCACCGCAGACTTGATAAGCAGAACGGCAGCATGCAGGGCATGCTCAGTGGCAGCAAGACCGACAACCCTGGTGAGAATTCGTATCTGCAGCACTGCACCGCACCACACCGCACCGCGCCGCATTGCATCGCACCGCACCGCACACTTGATGCGCAGAACGGCAGCACGAATGGCATTCTCAGCTTCAACTGTACCGTCAGCTCTCTTCGCCTGCTGTGCTGACACTGCCTTGCATCCACTCCACCCTTCCCCCTGCCCCCTGTCCCCTGTCCCCCTGTCCCCTCTCCCCTGTCCCCTGTCCCCCACCAGCCTTCTACAACTGGAACGCCGTCTATTTCATCTACTGCGATGGCGGCTCCTTCTCAGGCAACCAGGACGAGCCCGTTCGCTTCAATGTCAGTCACCTGCCCCTCTTCCCCTCCACCTCTCCGCCTCTCTGCCTTTCCGCCTGTTCGCCTCTCGCCCGTTTTACATTACCTCTCTCTCCTCTCCACCGTGGTGACCACTCCGCTTCTCGTCATGCTGTTTCTTCGTTCTCATTCCCCCCCTCCCGAATCCACCTCTCCCTTTCTCTCCCCCCCCCCCCCCCCCCCCCCCCCCACCGCAATGCATTCCCCTGTAATCTCGAGAGTTCTTTAGACTCAATTTCCCCTGTAAATTTGAACTTTATCCCTTCTGTCCCTATCCGTTCCCCCCTTTCCTTCCCCTCCCCCCAGGGCATTCCGCTGTACATGCGCGGAAGGAAAGTGGCGGACGCGCTGGTTAAGCACCTCATGGAGAAGAAGGGGCTTGACCACGCTGAGAAGGTGAGAAGAGGGGAGGTGGTGTTGTGGAGTTCAGCGGGGAGACTGGCACTGCTGCTTTTGGGAAAAGAACCTTGGGTTTGGTACAAAGTAGTGCCAGTGCCTTCGCAGGTTTGGTACAAAGTAGTGCCAGTGATTCTCTTCCACCCTTCATCAACCGCGCAGGTGGTTGTGACCGGGAGTTCGGCGGGAGGCGTGGCGGCGCTGCTGCACTGCGATCGAGTGAGGGACACTCTCACAGCCGCCTCTCCTTCCATGCACGTCCGCTGCCTTGCTGACGCTTCCATGTTCCTTGACGTGTAAGACTCCTCTTCACCCTGCTTTACTCCTCTTCACTCCTCTTCACTCCTCTGCAACTGTCTAGTTACGTTGCAATTTGACTACCATGGGGCTGTCCTGTAAGGGCTCATTGTCTTGTTGACTTAGTTTGTGTTTGCTTTTTTTTTTTTTACATAGTGTGGGATTGTTTTGTTTCTCATGTCTGTGCATGCGCGTGTGTGTGCGTCTCTCCCTGTTCCCCCCTCTCTGCAAATGAGCAGTCCAGATTCCGACAACACCCATAGGATCGCAGCATTCTTTTCTAAAGTGCAGACCATGCATGTGAGCAAGTCAGGACATGCATGTGAGCACTTGAGGATATGCACGTGACAAGAATGTGAGCAAGTCAGAGACAACAAATGTGGGCAACTCATAACTGAAGAGCACTCAAGTCATAAGGAACAAGCAATCCCACATCAACCCATATCTGCCGCCCCTCTCAAATTTCCCTTTTCCATCCTCCCTGTTATCTCCCCGTTCTCTCTGTCTTCTCTCTACTCCCTGTTCTCCCCGTCCGTCTTTCCAGAATCTCACCATCAGCCTCCCACCAGCGTGTGTCAAGGAGCGAGCGCTAGAGCAGCATCATCAGGTGCGCTGCTGCCTGCCTTTTTTCGTAGGTTGCTTTTTCAGATTCTAAAATTCAACCAGCATGGGAATTCTCAAAAGCATCATGAGGTGTGCTGCTTTTGCCGTCTCCAATCCACCATGCCACACCACCCCATGCCATGCCATCTCCACGCCACCGCTCTTAACCTTAGCCATAACGCGCCCTCTCTCCGCCCTCACTCTCCTCTCCCATCGCCAGTGCTTCATGGCCAACCATATTCTGCAGTACGTCACAACGCCTCTCTTCCTCATCAACAGCAACTACGACAAAGTTGCGGTAAGCACTATGCTCGTTCCACAATAGTAAATAATTGCAAGCAATAATAATAAATAAGATTTCTACTCGTTCTACTCGTTGCAGCAAGCAATATTATTTTGCAATCATAATCAGCCATCCCTCTCTCGCCTCTTGACCGTTTCCGTGCTCGCGCTTGCACTCCCGTTCCTGACATGACCTGCAGATGAGGGCCATTACACAACCAGAGGTGTTGGATTCAGGATTAACGGCCCCACCTGACTGCTTCGACCATCTCAGCACCTGCACTGCCAAGGAGAAAAAAATCTTTGAGGGTGAGTGAGTGAGTGAGTGAGCGAGAGAGCGAGCGAGTGAGTGAGTTAGTGAGTGAGGTTGCGTGAGTGTGTGCATGCGCTTGCACAAGTCTACCCTCCTCTGCCTTACTACTTGCTTGGCGTTACCCTGTCGCCCTTGCTTTACCTTGCCCTACTCCTCTTGCCTTACCTTGCAATACCATTTGTTCCCTACCTCTCTTTCCTCACCCGCTTGCCTTGCCATGCCCCACCTCCCTTCCCCCACCTTTCCCCACCTTGCCTCACCTTGCTTCACCGTTCCCCACTCATGCGTTTCAGATTACCGCAAGGCAGTGGCGAACGCAGTGGCACCTCTCGTGCACTCCACACCTGCCAACGCCGTCTTCCTCTTCTCCTGCTTTCAGCACGGCTCCATTCACTCAGACGTCCCGTGGATGAAGCGCACGGCCAAAGGCATGGTGAGTACCCAGCAGTGCGGTGCATTGTCAGTGGGGATTGTGTGTAACACGGTGTTTACTCCATCCACTCGAACGTCCCGTGCGTGATGCGCATGGGAAACGGAGTGGTGCGCACCCGGTGTTATCTCTGTCAGTTTGCACGTGATAGCATGTGCATGTGTGTGTTTTGGTGCGAGCATGCATGGGTGTGCATATACACGGTTGTTAACCAAATCTGCCTTTCTTCCTTTTATTTCCATCCATCCAACTACAGCCCATGTACGAAGCTGTGAGCCGTTGGATGCGCCCCGGCAACGCCGACAAGATTGATCTCATTGAAGGAGCATATCCGTGCAACTCGTGCATCATGGCAGAGGATTAACGCGCACGTGTCTTTTGATGTGTCTGAAAAGCGACACATCAGTGCTTTCCAGAACCACATTATTCATCTCATTCATCGAGGGAGCATACACCTGCAAATCATGCATTGTTGTGGAGGACTAAAGCGCCCACTTGAAATAGTTCTCCCCTTCATGTGTATTATAGCCCATCTGCTCTCAGCATTGGCTGCGCTGGCTCTGAATAAGCCGCAAATAAGCGAGCGGAGTCTCGATAGTGTTGCTTACTCTTTTGGAAGCACCTGGAGGAGTCCTGCTTGATAATACCGTACCTTATGGCTTGATTCGGAATTGTTTGTTAATGTATTTGTTCGATTATTGCTGTATTGTAATTCCCTGTATAATACCGTCGCTCTCTGGATATACTCCACCGTAGTATGGATATTGTATGGCCTTTGTCAAAGTTGAAACTGTCAAATGATATATATGTGTGATATATATTGGTAGGCTGTAGTGGGGTAGATGTTACAGGGGATAACACTTTAGGGTTGTGTTTCTTGTACCAAACTCTCTCGTCAATCGATTCAACCTTGCCTAGCTATCTCGACATGGTATCAGAGCAGGTTCTTAGGACCTAAGTTTAAGGGCCCACCAGTTACTAAGTTACCTCACCAACGGCCTGCCTACCTGCCTTGCCTGTTTGTCTGCCTAGCCTGCTGCCCGCGCGCGCCTCGGCTGCGCGCGCACGCCTTTTTTTTTAGCGCGCACTGCTGCTGCCAGCCGCGTCGCGCCCCGTCCGTCGCCCGCGCAGCCCGCCCTGAGCCCGCACAGCTCGCGCGCGGCCCGTCCCTGCCTCGCGCAGCCCGCTAAGGCCCCGCGCAGCCCGTCTGCAGCCCGCGCGTCGCATCTGTTGCTCGCGCGCAGCCCCTTTTCGCCCCGCGCGTCGTGTTTGCTGCCTGCGCGGCCCACTCCAGAGCTGCGCGCTGCACCTACCGTCCGCACGCAGCCCGCCTAGGCCCTGCACGTCGCGTTCGCCGCTCGTACAGCGCATTGCTGCCCCGTGCATTGCGTCCGCCTGTACCTGCCGCCAGGGTTTAGGGTTTACCCTGTCTTTTTCTTGCCTGCCTTGCGTCTCTACCGTCTGCCTTGCGCACCTGCCTGCTACAGTTGCCTGCTGCCTGAACCTGCAGCCTTTGCCTGCTGCCTGAGCCTGCTGCCTGAGCCTGCTGCCTGAGCCTGCTACTTTTGCCTGCGCTGCAACCATGGCGACCCTTACTGTTCTCGCCTTTGAGCCTGACGGCCGCCCCATCGAGTTTGACACCTGGCTTAGTGATCTGCGGCTTTACCTTATGACTGACGTCGCAGACGGAGTATCACTACTAGCCTATGTCACTGGCACTGTCCCTACTCCCGCTGAGACTGCTCCTGCCCCTGAACGAGCACAGTGGGAGCTCCGCGACGCAGTCGCGCGCCTTGTTATTCGCAATCACCTACCGATCTCTGAGCGCGCGCATTTCAACCAGCTTAAGACTGCTAAGACGCTGTATGATGCTGTCGTTGCCCGCTATTCCGCCCCGGCCACAGCCACCGTTGGTAGTCTCATCCTGCCTTACCTGTTCCCAGACTTAGCCTCGTTTCACACTGCTGCCGACCTTATCACTCACCTCCGCGCTAGTGACGCCCGCTTTCGAGCCGCTCTTACCGACGAGTTCCTCGCCACGAACACCCCCCCGCTGTACTTCACCCTCTACATCCTCGTCACCCGCCTCCCTGACACTCTTCGCTCTGTCAGGGATCACTTCCTTGCCAAGGATCCTCCAACTATCACTCTGGACGACTTCGAGCAGCAGCTGGTCGCAGCAGAGAAGAACATCCTCGCTGTCGGTGCTGCTCGTGGCACTCCCCGCACTCCCCTCTTTGAGGGGTGCTCCCCCTCCCCTCTTGACCCCTCCTACGCCTCTGCTGCTACTGCTGTCGACTTCCTCGGTGCGGAGAAGGTCGCAGCGGCTTCCGCTCCTGGTGGGAAGCGTGGTGGTGGCAGGGGCGGCAAGGGTGGCAGGGGTGGCGGAGGTGGCGGTGGAGGGAGCGGTGGTGGAGGCGGCGGGGGTGGTGGAGGTGGTGGGGGTGGACGTGGGGGTGGAGGCGGTGGGTGGGGTGGCGGCAGGACCGGGGGCGGTGGAGGCGGCGGCGGCGGCGGCGGTGGTGGGGGAGGAGGCAGCGGCAGTGGCGGTGGAGGTGGGAGTGGGGGTGGATCTGGCCAGAAGGGTGGCCCCACTGGTGGCCAGCAGCAGCAGCAGCAGCAGCAGCAGCAGCAGCAGCAGCAGCAGCAGCAGCAGCAGCCACAGCAGCAGCAGCAGCTTCCTTCCCTCGCCTCCCAGCAGCTCAATGACTGGTATGCTGGGCGTGGGGCGTCTCGGGGTTCTGACCGCTGCCCCTATGTCATTCGTACTGGCCCCCGCAAGGGTCGCCCCTGCAACGGTTTTCACACTGAGTATCGTTGTTTTGCTAGGCTTAGTGACGCCTGGCGTGCCAAGTATCCTGATGCTACTGAGTTCCCCAACTGGGCCGAGCTGCTTAGGCGTGATGTGCCTATCTTTGATCTGGACTATGATGTTATTCTTGCTGCCATGTATGCATTGACTGTTAGTGCTGAGGGTGACTGTTACTTGTGTGTGCCGCCTGATCCTGGTATTGACCCCGGTATAAGGGCTGCAGCCCTAGGTGCTAGTGAGTCTGCTCCCCTTGGTACTGAGTCGACTCAGGCCTTGCACACGTTTACACTTGACTCTGGTGCTTCCCGCTGTTTCTTTCGCGATAGCACCATCGTCACTCCCCTCCCTGCACCTGTCCCTGTCTCACTGGCTGACCCCTCTGGGGGCCCAGTGCTTGCACGAGCCACGACTGTGCTCCCGTGCCCGGCGGTCCCGTCTGGTGAGCTGTCAGGTCTCCACGTTCCCTCGTTCTCTACGAACCTGGTGAGCAACGCCGTCCTCCAGGATCACTGGGTTGACACCTGGACTCCTGGAGGGCAGCGTGTGGCGATCTGCACGTGCTCCAAGACTGGCCACCACCTGGCCACGTTCACTCGTGAGCCGGGGTCTAGTCTGTACACCCTCACCACTGTTTCACGCTACACTCCTTTGTCTCCTCAGCTGTACGCGTCTGCTCAGGTAGCTACCCAGTGTGAGTGCCGCCGCCTGTCGCACGACACGCTTCTGTGGCACCACCGCCTTGGTCACCCCTCCCTTCCTCGCCTTCGTGGCATGCACTCTCGCTCCCTGGTCTCTGGGCTTCCCAGGTCTCTGCCTGCCCTCCCTCCCTCGCCTGCGCCGCCCTGCATTCCCTGCGTCGAGGGGCGGCAGCGCGCCGCTCCTCACTCCTCCTCGTTTCCTCCCACAGAGGCTCCCCTGCAGACGCTCCACCTGGACGTGTGGGGCCCAGCCCGCGTCCAGGGACAGGGCCGTGAGCGGTACTTTTTGCTGGTTGTCGACGACTACACGCGTTACACCACGGTCTTCCCCTTGCGCAGCAAGGGGGACGTCCCTGCTGTTTTGATCCCCTGGATCCGCGCTGTGCGTCTCCAGCTCCGCGAGCGGTTCGAGCGGGACTTCCCTGTCCTGCGTCTGCACTCTGACAGAGGTGGTGAGTTCTCCTCTGACCTCTTGGCAGCCTTCTGTGCGGAGCACGGCATTACCCAGTCGTTCACGCTTCCGGCCTCTCCGCAGCAGAATGGGGTTGCTGAGCGCCGCATTGGCTTAGTCATGGAGGTCGCTCGTACCTCCATGATCCATGCGGCGGCTCCCCATTTTCTGTGGCCGTTCGCGGTCCGGTACGCCGCGCATCAGCTCAACCTCTGGCCCCGTGTCTCCTTGCCGGAGACCTCGCCCACGCTGCTGTGGACGGGGGAGGTTGGCGATGCGTCGCGTTTCCGGGTCTGGGGTGCTCGTGCCTTTGTCCGCGATCTCACCGCGGACAAGCTCTCTGCTCGCGCCATTCCCTGCGTCTTCCTTGGTTTTCCTCCTGATGCGCCTGGCTGGCAGTTTTACGACCCCACCTCGCGCCGTGTCTTTGCGTCTCAGGACGTCACCTTTGACGAGTCTGTTCCCTTCTACCGTCTCTTTCCCTACCGCACTGCCTCTCGCCCCCCCCCCGCCGCTCTTTCTCGCTCCAGGTCCTCCCCAGGTAGACCCCCTCCCCGCGCCAGGTCCTGCTCCTTCAGGTGTTTCTCAGGTAGACCCTCCGGTACCTGCGCCTGTTGAGGTCACTGGTGACTCAGGTCCTGCTGGAGGTGGTCCTGCTCGGGGTGCTGTCTCTGGGGGTGCTGAGCCTGGGGGTGCGGAGCCTGAGCGAGAGGCGCCTAGAGGTGCTGAGCCTGGGGGTGCGGAGTCTGGGGGTGCTGTGCCTGCGCGTGAGGAGCCTGGAGGTGCTGAGCTTGGGGGTGTCGAGTCTGAGGGTGCGGAGCCTGCGCGAGAGGAGCCTGGAGGTGCTGAGCTTGGGGGTGCCGAGTCTGCGGGTACTGAGCCTACGCGTGAGGAGCCTGGAGGTGCTGGCGCTGGAGGTTCTGGAGCAGTTGGGGGTGCTGGCGCTGAGGGTTCTGAGTCTGCTGTTGCGCGGTCTCCTTGGAGTAGCCGCCTTCGTCCACGTGTGCCTCTCACCTCACAGCAGCTGCAGGACCAGTACGGTCGCCGTCAGGGTCGCGCTGCTGGAGCCCGGGGCTCTACTGCTGGAGTCGCTGGTTCCGGAGGTGCTCGTCCTGGGGGTACTGGAGCTGCTGGGGCTTGGGGTGCTGGTTCTGGGGGTGCTGCTGCTGGAGACACAGAGGTTGGAGACCCTGGGACTGGAGGTGTCGGTTCTGGGACTGGAGCTGCTGGAGGTGCTGGAGCTGCTGGAGGTACTGGAGCTGCTGGAGCTGCCGGTACTGGCGCAGCTGCGCCGACACGACTGTTCTTCGCTCCGCCGTCTCCGTCGTCTCTGCCGCCGTCTGACTCTGCTCTTCGTCAGGTTCTTACTCTCCCGTCGTCTACTGGTCTTCCGTTACAGCCTGGCTCACCGCTGCCTGCTCCTTCTCCTTACACTGAGCAGACTGGTAGTCCTGCTGAGCGTCGTGAGCCTGCGTCGCGTCCTGTCTCGCCTGCTCGTCTTGGTCGTACCGGTCGTCGTGTTCCTCGTTCGCGTCAGCCGGCTGTCCCCAGCGCACACCTCGTAGTCCGTCGTCCTTCCTCTGCTCTGCAGCCTGTTCCTCTGCCGTCTCCTCCTGCGTCCTCTCTACCTGACGTTCCAGACCCTGAGTCTGACCGGTTTCGTGCTGAGCACCCTACTGTCACGCGTCTGCTAGCCACTGTTGTCACTGACCCGTCGTTTGAGTCTACTGCTGCATCTGCTCTTGTCGCTGAGCTTGTTGACTTTGCTGCTGCCTGTCGTCTAGACTTCGCTGCCAGTCTTGTTGCTGAGTCTGAGTCTGTCTGTCCTCCGTCCGTCGGGGGTGAGTGTGCTCTTAGCACGGACGTCCTTGAGGACAGGCACGAGGACCTTGAGTGTCTTGCGACTGCTGCGCCTCATCTCGTGGCCATGCTGCTTGCCCCTGAGGGAGACCCGGATGCACCAGACATCCCGACCCCGCGCTCTTACGCTGAGGCGATGGCGGGTGAGTACTCCTCTCAGTGGCAGACAGCCATGGACGCAGAGATGGCATCCTGGAAGTCCACAGGCACTTACGTCGATGAGGTTCCCCCTCCTGGGGCGAACATCGTCGATGGCATGTGGATTTTCAGGGTGAAGCGGCCGCCGGGTTCTCCGCCTGTCTTCAAGGCTCGTTACGTTGCTCGAGGCTTCAGTCAGCGAGAGGGAGTTGACTTCTTCCAGACCTTCTCCCCTACCCCGAAGATTTCTACTCTTCGGGTGCTGCTGCACGTTGCCGCTCACCGTGACTACGAGCTTCACTCTCTTGACTTCAGCACAGCTTTCTTACAGGGCAGCCTGCACGAGGAGATCTGGCTGCGCCGCCCACCTGGCTTCACTGGGTCGTTCCCTCCTGGTACCCAGTGGAGCCTCCGGCGGCCAGTCTACGGTCTCCGCCAGGCGCCACGTGAGTGGCACGACACACTGAGGACGACACTGGCGGCTCTTGGGTTCGCTCCTTCGACAGCTGACCCGTCGCTGTTCCTGCGCACCGACACTTCGCTGCCACCGTTCTACATCCTCGTGTACGTAGACGACTTAGTCTTTGCCACTGCTGACACTGAGGCTCTCGCCTTGGTGAAGTCGGAGCTGCAGAAGAGACACACGTGCACAGACCTGGGTGAGCTGCGCAGTTACCTTGGCTTGCAGATCACTCGGGACAGAGCACGCCGCACCATCACACGGACTCAGTCACACATGGTGCAGCAGGTCCTTCAGCGCTTCGGCTTCACCTGGTCCTCGCCACAGCACACTCCTCTGGCTACAGGTCACTCGCTCTCAGCTCCACTTTCGGACGAGTCCGTAGAGCCGAGTGGTCCTTACCCAGAGCTAGTGGGCTGCCTCATGTACCTGATGACCTGCACTCGGCCTGACCTTGCGTACCCTCTTGGCCTTCTCGCTCGCTACGTGGCTCCTGGTAGGCACCGACCAGAGCACATGGCTGCTGCTAAGAGGGTACTGCGCTACTTGTGCAGTACATCGGGCATGGGGCTCGTGCTTGGAGGACGGAGTGAGGTGGTCCTCACTGGGCACTCAGACGCGTCTTGGGTTGACGACCAGGCTACACAGCGGTCGTCACAGGGTTACACCTTCAGCCTTGGCTCTGGCTCTGTTTCTTGGCGGTCTACACGCTCGTCTTCTGTTCTCAGCTCCAGTTGTGAGGCTGAGATCTACGCCACCGCCATGGCTGCACAGGAGCTACGCTGGCTCACCTACCTGCTGACTGACTTGGGTGAGCGGCCTCGTTCTCCTCCAGTGCTGTACGTTGACAACAAGGCGGCCATTGCCTTGTGTGAGGAGCACAGACTGGAGTACAGAACGAAGCACATTGCTCTGCGTTACTTCCTGGCTCGAGAGTTGCAGCAGCGAGGCCAGCTTCGTCTTCGTCACGTGGCCACTCGGGCCAACACTGCTGATATATTCACCAAGGCACTTCCGTCTGGTGATCATCAGCGCTTTTGTACTCTGTTGGGCCTTGTGCCTACGTTTCCACACTTGCTGTAGTCTCTGCTTGTACTGTGATATATATATATATATATATATACCTGCATGCTGGCTCTTGCTAGGTAGCCATCACTGTACTGTTATTGCTGCATATATATCTCTGCATGTGAACTGGCCTTGTGGCCATTTGCTTGTTCTCAGAATGTGTGGTGACGTTGTGATCCACCCTGAGCTTGTTTTGCTTCTCTTGACTGGTCTTGTGACCCGTTGCTCTCCCCCACTTTGCCTATGGGGGTGTGTCAAATGATATATATGTGTGATATATATTGGTAGGCTGTAGTGGGGTAGATGTTACAGGGGATAACACTTTAGGGTTGTGTTTCTTGTACCAAACTCTCTCGTCAATCGATTCAACCTTGCCTAGCTGTCTCGACAGAAACTAGTTAGACAATGGCTAAGCTAAAGACAGTTGTGTTGTTCTCCATCATGTGCTTCATCATAATGTCAACGTCAATATATTTTACAGGGTTTAGGCAATAGTACGTGTAAATGTCAACCCAGAACACGAGTGTGGCAATGCAATAGTCAGCGGGATATGTACGATACCGGGATTGACGGTGTCTGCATCTCATAGTGGTGTTTCGCCTCCCCGAATGATAGCCAGTTCATGGAAATTTTCCAGTCCATTTTACACGCTTTGGTTTGGAGACATCGATGGTCAAATGTCACGAGAAGTTCACATGAAAGAATCTGCATGCAGGCAGATCAACCATGGATGCACGCTCGTTCATGCAAGCGGCACTTGATCTGTTTCCCATCACGGGATCGCGACTCGTAAGTGGCTTAATCTCGACCACCCTAGAACGAGATTCACACCATACCATAAAGCCTGTATTGGTGAGCCTCCTTAGGTTGCATCTCTTGAGAGTTCTTACGATTTCGTTTCTCTGGAGTTTTTTGCAACCACCACCATGGACTCACGCGCTTTGTACACTTTTCCGGCTTCAAAGCTGACCAGACTGAACAATTTCTCACTCTCAACACTCACGCTGCTGTCGACTTTAGAACACGGTACGCTGAGGAGTAAGCTTGCTAAACCTCAATGCAGAGGAAACGCCATAGAACGACATGTTACCAGCAACGGTGATCTTCAGAGCACGTTCAAGGAACTGAGCTCTACGTGGAGTTCCCCGGCAACGAATCGAGCTCCTGTTGGTGTGTTTTGGGATTACGAGAATCTTCCTGTCCCGAAGTGTGCGTCGACCTCGGAAATTGTTTGCGAGCTCCAGAAATTCGCTGACGGTCTAGGAGACGTGCAGCTGATCAGAGCGTACGGACAAGACACATCCTTCCAGGAACAGAAGGAAATTCGCCGCTCCAATGTTGAGCTCGTGGTAGTTCCGCCTGGAAGAAACATGGCAGACAACGCCATAAAGAAAGACGCTGAAAGATTCTTGCTCAGGGAGATCGCATGCCTTTTGAACTCTGGGCGGAAAAGCACTTTGAAGGCCAAGTGAGTGTTGTAGCTTTAGCTACGGATTTCCTTTCTTTTCAGCCACTCCACTGATTTTTTTTCTTATTTAAGCCTGTACGTGAGTATCTCAACCCTGGCTACCCATGCAGTTTCGAGCTTCCTTTGGTGGTCATACTTTCTCGAGATCGGGATTTCTTCCCTTTTATCACAACACTGGTTCGCACGGGAGTGAGAGTAGTCACATTATTCTCCTTAACCACCAAACGGAACCAGGAGCACATTGAGAGATGGCGCTCTGCTCTTACGCAGTCCAAGGTGTCCGTGCACTCCAGTGAGGTACGAGCAGGTTCAGTCATTATGCGTGGATTCTTGCTCAGCAGGACTGACCTCATTTCATCATCTGCAGAAGCAACTCCAAAGTTGGATCCTACCAACTCCAGCGCACACAACACCGCTGCAAGCTTGACATCCCCACAAGTTACATGCTACGGTCCAGAAATCGCACGGCTCAAGTACGAGTTTCTTACCATCCTTGGTGCTCATGGTACATGCGACATCCTGCGATTTCTCCAGCTATACCATGCTGTGTTTGGGAAGCAGTTCAGGTACAAAGACCACGGTTTGAAAGGACAGCATCAGTTGATATCCGCGCTCAAGGGTGTTGTGGATTTTACCAGGGAAGAACCGAACAAGCCTCCCAGCATTTCGCTCGTCCAGTCGGAAGCCAATATGAGGACCCTTGGGCTCATCCAGTCAAGGCTGAGAGTCGCGGTTCATGCTGCTCTGGAGGAGCTCTTGCCAAGAAATTGTGTTACCACAGCACCTTGTGGAGGTGGCGCATCCAGCCATTGGATTTCCCTGCAGCAGCTGGAAGAACGGCTAAGTTTGAAGACCCGGAAGCAGTTGGGCGAGCTGTTAATGAATCATGGTTTCCCGAGGTCTTCAAGAAGGGCTCATGTGAAGAAGCGGCTTGTGCTGCTATTGAAGGAAATGCCTGATTTACTCGAAGTGCAGGAAGTCACAAAGAAAAGAGTTCGTGTGTGTCTCATTCGGACAGAGAAGGACACGAGGATTACCGAGTGGAATCTTCAAAATGCTAAGTGGGACGGATCCATGTATACGTGTCAGTAACTACTGTGTGCTAGTACAGTACTTGTGCCCTGCATGCATCCTTTGCTTGTGCTACTAGAACTTGTTGCAAGTGGAGGGCACGGATTGTAAGTGATGCCTATGCACGAATGACTTACAGAAAAACGAATAGCCACGTCACAGTAACCGTATTGTTTTGTCCCTTGTGATATTTCTGTTCCCCCAGCGCTCCACACTTCACATCTTATCCAACTCCTCATCCTTCCTCTACTCACCTACCCCAGGAAAAGCCAAAGATAGGAGGAGCCAAGGGGAAAGGCATGAATGGGAGGGAGGGGTGGAGAGAGGGGACAGGTGAAATCTGTCTGCTGTTCTGCATTGCTGGTCAAACCTAGTGCCGAACCGACACACCATAACGGTACTCCCTTCTCAAACCCGCCTTTCCCCATCCCCCTTGCCTTGCCTTGCCTCATCCCCATTTCCCCACCTTGCCCCACCTTCACAATCCACCACTCCTTCCTGGGTTTCAGACTACCGCAGGGGAGTGGCCACGGCAGTGGCACCTCTCTTCCACACAGCCTCATCGTCGCCTCACTCGACACCTGCCCAACGCTGTCTTCCTCTTCTGCAGAAACATGTCAATCTCCTGTTGTTTCCTCCCAGCAACAGATGAAAAGAGTGTCCAAGCCCACATAATTATAAGCCCCTAGGGGCATCTATCCTAAGAATAACAGGTATTTCCTAAGGGCCCATGGTGGCAAACATATGGAGAATGATGGTCCTACCGTATAATGGGCGTTACAATAAAACAATCAAAGCAAGGAGAATGAAAACAAATCTGAATCAAACCATGTAATATAATATGGTCCTAGCTGAGTACTACGTTACATGATACAGGAATAACTAGCCCCACCTGGCCTTATTTCGAACCTGTGGGCCTTATTCAGCATTTGCACGGCCAAAGCTGTGAGCAGCTGGGCCATGATGCACTTGAAGAGAATAAAGAGCTGTTTCGAATATGCTTCATCCCTTCATCGCGCACGAGTTGCTCGGATATCCTCCCTGGATGAGATGAATCTTGTCGTTGTCGGGGTGCATCCAACGGTCCACAGCTTCGTACATGGGTGGGCCAGGAGGCATCTGGATGTCTAGGAGCGGGACATCAGACCTTCGCACGAGTTGCAGGGGTATCCGCCTTCGACGAGGTCGATCTTGTCGCTGTTGCCGGGGTGCATCCAACGGTCCACAGCTTCATACATTGGCTGGTGGATAAATTGGATTGGAGGGCAGGAAACAATGCAAGGCCGGATTGGTCAAACACTCATGCTTACACAGTACACACCCGTGCGTGCGCACAGATACGCACGCATGCACTCACACGCACAGATTCCACGCACACATATGCACAACTACCATGACGGTACATGGAGGAAGTTGGGCAAGGTGAGGCAAGGTGAGGCACAATGGGGCAGGGTAGGGTGAGGACAAAGGTGAGGTAAGGTGGTGTGGTAAGAAGGAAGAACATCCTGCTGCCACACACAACCCCACTGTTACTGCACAAGACCTGCTGGTAACTCACCACTCCTTTTGGGACTCACCACTCTCCCTTAGCCGTGTGCACAGTCCACGGCATGTCTGAGTGGATGGAGCAAGCCCCCTGTTACAGACAACCCTGTAGCTAGCTAACATGCCACCCTGCTGTTACTGCACCCACCCACCCATCACCCTGCTGTTAGTGCACCCACCACCCTGCTGTTACTGCACCCACCACTCTGCTGGTATCTCACCACTCCCTTAGCCGTGCGCACAGTCCATGGCATGTCTGAGTGGATGGAGTCAATCCCCTATTACATACAACCCTGTAGCTAGCATGCCACCCTGCTGTTATTGCACCCACCACCCTGCTGGTAACTCACCACTCCCTTTGCCGTGCGCACAGTCCACAGAGTGCCGGAGTGGATGGAGTAAGCCTGCGTGTTACACAACACCCTGCTGTCTCACACAACCAATACAACCCCTCCACCCACCACCCTGCTGTTACTGCACCCACCACCCTGCTGGTAACTCACCACTCCCTTTGCCGTGCGCACAGTCCACGGCATGTCTGAGTGGATGGAGCCGTGCTGGAAGCAGGAGAAGAGGAAGGCGGCGTTGGCTGGTGTGGAGTGCGGTGAAGATGGTGATGAAGAGGTGGCTGACGGTGGGTCGGTGTGGAGGAGAGGAGCCGCTGCTGACGCCACTCCCTTGCGGAAATCTGCAGACAAGGTGTGGGGCAAGGTGAAGCACGGTGGGGAAAGGTGAGGCACGGCGGGGCAATGTGGGGCAAGGTGGGGCTGGGTAGGTCAAGGTGGGTCAAGGTGGGAAAATGGTGAGGTAAGTTGCGGGAAGGTTAAGTAAAGAGAGTGATTTAAGAAACCGAGGCAAGCCAGGTTGGGAAAGGCAAGTAGGGCAAGAAGATTAGGGTTGTGGAAGTGCAATCAATAGGCCTTATGAAATCTTTCAAGGTGCACCCCCCATCCCAAAACTCGCTCACTCACTCACACTCACTCACTGGGGGCTGTTGTCACTGAGCCTAATTCCTGTGGCGCTGCAATGGCTCTCATCTCATCTGCAGCTCAAGTCACCAGACACACACATCACACCCACGCACCCTCAATGACTCGCTTCTCGGCAGCAGTGCACGTGCTGACATGGTTGAAGCAGCGGGGGGGCTATTGTCGCTGAGTCTAATGCCTGCAGTGCTGCAATAAGTCACCAGACACTCACTCACACCACACCCACGCACCCTCGATGACTCGCTTCTCGGCAGCAGTGCACGTGCTGACATGGTTGAAGCAGTCAAAGGGGGGCTTTTGGTGCTGCAATAGCCCTCATCTCATCTGCAGCTCAAGTCACCACGCACTCACACCGCACGCACGCACCCTCAATGACTCGCTTCTCGGCATCAGTGCACTTGCTGACATGGTTGAAGCAGTCCGGGGGAAGGTTTGCCTCCGAAATGATCCCCGTATCCAGCAACTGCGGCGTTGCAATGGCCCTCATCTGCACGTCACGGCACAATAGAGAGGTGATTGTACCGAGGTGACTTTTGAGTCGTAGTGGAAGTGACACCTGCACGTCAGGCACAAAAGATATGATTTTTTTTTTTTTTTTTTCCGAGGCGACACTAGATAGCTACAACGCGGCTGGAAAGGAGTTGTTTTCAGACGTCTCAAAATCTGCAGGTCGCGGCACAAAAGCGAGGTAGATTGTACCGAGGCAATGCTAGCTAGCTACAAAGCAGCCGGAATGAGCATTTGCATCTGTTAGTTGGTAACGAGATTGAGCTGATAGAGTGGAGTTAGAATAGGAATGATAATAGCAGTAATAGCTTGCGGTAGCAGTAATTGCTTAATAATAACAATAATGATAATGATGATAACAATAATACCAACAAAGTATTGTAATTATTACAAACGGCAAGAGCGGAATGCGTGACATCTTACCGCAACTTTGTCGTAGTTGCTGTTGATGAGGAAGAGAGGCGTTGTGACGTGCTGCACAATATGGTTGGCCATGAAGCACTGGCGTGGGCGGGAGGAGGGCGGAGAGGGGATGGGGGGGGCAGAGAGGGGGTGGGGAGGGTGGAGAGAGGGTGAGGAGGAGATGTCTTATTATGGCAGTGGTGAAGATAGTTGGCCATGCAGCACTGGTGTGTGTGGGGAGGGCGAGGAGGGTGAGGAGGGCAAGGAGGGCGTAGAGAGGGCTTATCATGGCAGTAGTGAAGAGGGGTGAAGCGGAATGAAGCGGAGTGAAGAGGAGTGAAGAGGAGTGAAGAGGAGTGAAGCGGAGTGAAGAGGAGTGAAGCGGAGTGAAGCGGAGTGAAGCGGAGTGAAGAGGAGTGAAGCGGAGTGAAGAGGAGTGAAGCGGAGTGAAGTGGAGTGAAGAGGAGTGAAGCGGAGTGAAGAGGAGTGAAGCGGAGTGAAGAGGAGTGGCGAATGCGAATGAGGAAAGAGATGGGGGCGAGGAGGGCGAAAGGGGTGTGGTGGGGTGCGTTTAGGTTGAAGAGGGGTTCAGCGAGTCGGTGAAAGGTACTGTACATGGCATAATATGTGCAGTCTCCTACCGATGGATCAGAACCACGGCTGGACAAGGTGGCATGGGATGGCATGGCATGGCATGGCATGGCATGGCATGGCATGGCATGGCATGGCATGGCATGGCACGGCACGGCATGGCATGGCATGGCATGGCATGGCACGGCACGGCACGGCACGGCACGGCACGGCACGGCTCGGCATGGCATGGCATGGAGGAGGGCAGCAGCAGCGCACCTGATGGTGGTTCTCTGGCTCTCGCTCCTGGACACACGCTGCTGGGAGGCTGGCGGTCAGATTCTGGATAAGAGGGCCACAAGATAGAAGAACGGTGAGAGCAGGGAGGAGATAAGAGCAAGGCTGGGAAATGTGAGAAGGTTGGCAGTTATGGGTTGGCGTGGGATTGCATGTCCCTGACTTGCTCACATGCATGCCCTGACTTGCTCACATGCATGCCCTGACTTGCTCACATGCATGCGCTGACTTGCTCACATGCATGTCCTGACTTGCTCACATGCATGTCCTGACTTGCTCACATGCATGTCCTGACTTGCTCACATGCATGTCCTGACTTGCTCACATGCATGTCCTTCACTTGAGCAAAAAAGTTGGCAACCCTCCTAGTGTTGTTGACATCAGGACTGCACATGGGGAGGGAGGAAGTGAGGGGAGGAGGTGGGGGAGGAGGGAGAGAGAGAGAGGGAGGAGAGAGGGAGGGAGAGAGATACACACATGCATGCACCGACATAAGTCAAAGTGTCAATACAGTAACGAAAAAAAAACACCTGCAATTTTGCATTACAAATAAAAATAAATAGTAGTAGTAGTAGTAATAACAATTATTATTATTATTATTATTGTTATAATAATAATAATAATACTAATAACAACAACAGCAACAGCAACAGCACAGCACAGCAGCAGCAGCAGCAGCAGCAGCAACAACAACAACACAACAACAACAACAACAACACAACACAACAACAACAAAAAAATAATAATAATAATAATAATAATAATAATAATAATAATAATAATAATAATAATAATAATAATAATAATAATAAAATAATAATAATAATAATAATAATAATAATAATAATAATAATAATAATAATAATACAAGTCAGCACAAGTCAATGTGCTCTTACGATTCAATCCATACGAGTGACAGAGGAGTGAAGAGGGATGAAGAGGGGTGAAAGAGAGTCTTACACGTCAAGGAACATGGAAGCGTCAGCAAGGCAGCGGACGTGCATGGAAGGAGAGGCGGCTGTGAGAGTGTCCCTCACTCGATCGCAGTGCAGCAGCGCCGCCACGCCTCCCGCTGAACTCCCCGACACAACCACCTGCTCGGTTGATGGGTGGGAGGGAAGGCACCATAGGCATGGGTATTTCTGAGTGCCCTTCACTCAATGATCGCAATGCAGTAGCAGCGCCACCCCTCCCGCTGAAGATCCCGACACAACCACCTGCTCGGTTGACGGGCGGGAGGGAGGGCACCGCAGCAGGCAAGGGGGAAAGGGAAGGGAAGGAAGTGAGTCCTTCCTTTCCTTTCCAGCGGACGAAAGGGGGAGACATGGCCCCCAGCGGCTTCCAGCGGCTTCCAGCGGCTTCCAGCGGCTACCAGCGTCTACCAGCGGCTACCAGTGGCATTCCTTCCTGCCCGGCAGCAATGCTCCCCCTGACCATCCCACAACCACCTGCCATGCAGGACAGGACAAATCCAGCCTCGGCTGACCCGCCACTCTCCTCCCTCTCTCACCATCCTCCTCCTCTGACGCTGCCCCCTCGCACCCTCCCTTCTGGTCCCTTCCCCTCTCACCCTGTCCGCGTGGTCAAGCCCCTTCTTCTCCACAAGCACCACAAGCACCTTCAGCAGCAGCTCCGCCACTCGCCTTCCCCTCATCACTCTCTCCTCCCTCTCCACTCGCCTTCCCCTCATCACTCTCCTCCCTCTCACGCTGCCAATCTCACCCTCCCACCCGCCACCCTCCCCCCTCTCACCCTGTCCGCGCGGTCAAGCCCCTTCTTCTCCATTAGCACCCTCAGCAGCAGCAGCTCCGCTACTCGCCTTCCGCGCACGTACAGCGGAATGCCCTGGGGGGGCAGGATAGGAGGGAGGGGAAAGGAAGGGGAAAGGAAGGGGTGGTGGACGAGAGAGGGGGAGAATGAGAAGGAAGAAACAGCACGACGAGAAGCAGAGAGGTGGAGAGGCAGAGAGGTGGAGAGGCAGAGACGGAAGTGTAAAAAGGTGGAGAGGCGAGCAGGCGGAAAGGCGCGAGAGAAGGAGAGGCGGAGATGTGGAGAGAGGATTAGTGGGATAGGGGGAGAGGCGGAGAGGGGAGAGAAGGAGAGGCGGAGAGAAGGAGAGGCGGAGACAAGGAGAGGAGAGGCGGAGACAAGGAGAGAGGGAGAGAAGGAAAGGCGGAGACAAGGAGAGAAGGAGAGGCGGAGACAAGGAGAGAAGGAGAGGCGGAGACAAGGAGAGAAGGAGAGGCGGAGAGAAGGAGAGGCGGAGAGGCGAGATGTGGAGAGGTGGAGGGAGAGGCGAGAGGGAGAGAGTCGGAGAGGGACGGAGGGGCATGTGACTGACATTGAAGTGAATGGGCTCGTCCTGGTTGCCTGAAAATGAGCCGCCATCGCAGTAGATGAAATAGACGGCGTTCCAGTTGTAGAAGGCTGGTGTGAGGTTGGGGGCAAGGCGAGGGTGCAGCACAAAAGGCGTGTGATCAGACATTCCAGCGAGGTTGGGGGCAAGGCGGAGGTTGGGGGCAAGGCGGAGGTTGGGGGCAAGGCGGAGGTTGGGGGCAAGGCGAGGGTGCAGCACAAAAGGCGTGTGATCAGACATTCCAGCGAGGTTGGGGGCAAGGCGGAGGTTGGGGGCAAGGCGGAGGTTGGGGGCAAGGCGAGGGTGCAGCACAAAAGGCGTGTGAGACGTCTCAAAATGGCTTTTGAGGTGCTTGAACAGCCGCCATCGCAGTAACTGAAGTGGACAGCGATGGTATTCCAATTGGGAGAAGGCTGGGGGGGACAGGGGTGGATGCAAGGCAGTGTCAGCACAGCAGGTTAAGAGGAGTCAGCACAGCTGGTGAAGGGAGCAGCAGGTGAAGGGAGCAGCTGGTGAAGGGAGCAGCAGGTGAAGTCAGCTCTCCTCACTCACCAGGGCTGACGGTGCCGCGGTGTGCATCAAGTGTGCGGTGCGGTGCAGTGCGGTGTAGCAGCGACTTATCCTCACCAGGGTTAACAGTGCGGTTGAAGCTGAGCATGCCCTGCATGCCTGCCATTCAGCGCAAGTATGCGGTGCAGTGTAGTGCGGTGCGGTGCGGTGTAACAGCAACTTCTCCTCACCAGGGTTGACGGTCTTATTGAAGCTGAGCATGCCAATCATGCTGCCGCTGAACATGAACTGTGCATCGAGGTGCGGTGCGGTGCGGTGCAGCAGCTACGGATTCTCACCAGGGTTGACAGTCTTATTGAAGCTGAGCATGCCGTTCATGCCGCCCTTCTCCTTATCCAGCATCTCCGCCACTGAGCGCGCGTGCTCCGTGGATCCCCGGTGCGTGCGCGCCCTGTGCGCGCAGGCGTGGGGGGACGCGCACCACGCTCCGCCCTGGAATGCGGGCGGAAGGGGAGAGTGGAGGGGAAGCGGAGAGGGGTGGGGGGGGAGGGAGGGGAAAGGAGGGCGGAACGGAAGGTGGACAAGGGGGGAAGAAAAAACAGTAGAGGTAAACAAGCAGGGGATGGAGGGCCAGGGAGGCGGCGGAGGGTACTAGGCGGTGCAGAAACAATTGAAAAAAAGGAGGAAAACGGAAGCCGTTCGTTTTAGTCACACCTCGAAGAACAGCACCCAGTTGTTTTCTCCCGAGCCATAGCCCTTCCGATAGTAGAACCCAGGAGCCGACCCGTCCAAGCACACTGCGCCCTCCGCGCGCCCTTCTTCCGCCAGAATCAGCTGCAGCGGCGGAATCTGCGCCTGCGCCTCCGCTTCCGCGTCCGCCTCACCGCCACTGGCGGAAGGAGCAGAATCCTTCACTACAAGCCAGTCCCCCTCCGCGGAAGACCGGGAGGATTCCTTTACTAGCTCCGACGCGGCGGCATTGTCTCCGCTTCCGCCAGCAGCCAGCTTGCGGGGTTGCGCCGCATTGACGCCCGCTCCGCGCACGCCGCCAGCTGCCGCTGCGAGGAGCAGCAGCGCAAGGAGACCCGCCGCTGGCGCCGCAACTGGAGTGAAGCCCCGGCGCGACATGACGGGCGCGCGGAACTCGTTCAACGAGGGCGGCGGAGAAGGGGCAGCGGAGGAGGGGCGGGGGGGGGCGGGAGGAGGGGACGGCGGGGAACGGGTGGCGGAGTATGGTGTAGCGGCGGAGAAGGGACGGCGGAGGAGGCGGAGCGGCGGATGATACCGTGGTGAGAAGCAGACGCCTGTAAACCGATGGCCGATAGTAGTGCCTTCAAATCAGGTCCAGAATTCAGGTCCAGCAGCGGCAGCAGCAGCAGCGGCGGCAGCAGCAGCAGCCGCAGCAGCAGCAGCAGCCGCAGCAGCAGCGGCAGCAGCAGCAGCAGCAGCGGCAGCAGCAGCAGCAGCGGGCAGCAGCAGCAGCAGCAGCAGCAGCAGCGGCAGCAGCAGCAGCAGCGGCAGCAGCAGCAGCAGCAGCGGCGGGAGGAGGGGAGCGAGAGCGTGAGGAGTTGCTTGTGATTCTCACCGTGGGTAGTACCACCAGATGTGACATGATCGTAACCTGGACGTCACATCTAGTAGATCCCTCTGCTCGCCGTTACCTGCACAGGGATTCTAGGAAGCGCCGATCGGGGGAAGGGCAGGCGCGTCGGGTCGGGGTAGGATCGGCCCTTATCGCTGGGGCAGGGGGGGTAGGTCGGGGCAGGTGGTGGGGCAGGTGGTGGGGCAGGTGGTGGGGCAGGTGGGGCAGGTGTGGGGCAGGTGGGGCAGGTGGTGGGGAAAGAATAGTAGAAGCCGGCGAGATTCACTGGGTTCCCGTCAGATCATGGCTTATAGGTGCGCGTATACGCGCGCCGGTGGGAAGCGACAAAAGAGATCTCCCCCCACCCTCCCGGGGCCAGAAGTTCCCCTTTCCTTCCGTCCTTCCCAGGTACTCCTCTCCTCCCCATTCCCACCCACTCGCCCCCCTTCCAGTTTTCCTGAGTAATGCCATGCGACGCGAATACTCTCGGACGGCTGTCAGGGAACCTCAGGTTTCTAGGATAGGACGAATCCAGACCTCCAGAATGATCGGATGATAATCACTGGTCCTGAGAAACCCATACTGGCAGGAAGTGCGGCTGGAGAAATCTGTCGTCACGTGGCCTCGTTTGTCGGGACACGCTGCGGCAGTACTAGGCGAACCGCGGCTCGCCATGTTGTACAACGCAGCCTGCTACAGCCCCGAGTTTGAATCCACACGAGAGAGTTACCCACCGCATGACGAAAACCCTAAATTTGGAAGATTGAAATTGTGGTATACTCACAACGAGTCCCTCGCGAGACGATCGTACACTACTTGCTAGTTTCCAAACCGAATACTCGTATGCAGCGATTAGGCTCCCCGCTCACCTAGAGACGGTTCCCTCAGGGAGTTCTTTCATTATGGATTAAACTACAATACAAAGCCTTAAATCTATACGTGGACCTTAGATTTATCTCAGCTAGAGCTGAATTTTCAAACCTCCACAAAATTTTAAAAGGATTGAAAAATATGTAATGTGCGTGAGCCAAGTGGCGAAGACTGCAGTAAAAAAACGCAACCATGTTTTTTGGTATTGACTACAGATTTTAACAAAAAACGACGAGTTGAGACTTCACTGTACCTGACATGAGGACCCTGAAAATATATAGTCTTTTGCCTCATCCTTTCAGTTAGGGACTAGTATCGCAAAAATAGTGAGTGGGACAATAGTACAGGTACATCGCGATTAGGTTCGTGTACAGCACTATCCGCACGCTTCTTCAGGTGGTTTGAACGGCAAATCTCGTGTCAGGTGTAGGTGCAGATGTTCCTGGATACACCTGCAGATCTGTCAGCCGGTGTAGGTCCACTGCCATTACCAGATCAGATTACTGTACTGTATTTCAGATGGAAGGCTTCCATTCACGCACGCACGGTTCTGTGGTGCACGGCTGGACTGCTACAGTACGGTAATGCGGCAGGTTTGTATTCTTTGGTGGGTACAAAAGTCAACGCGAGTTGAGACTAGGTGACACTGCAAGGAGAGGATACAAGACAAAAATAGTGGTCTTCAGCAACTCTCGTTATCATTACAGATTCCTTCTTCCGTTGTTAAAAATGCCCTTTCTCATCGGGGCTAAATTGGACTTCCACAAGGATATGGGGTTTCCACTCCAGCCACAGTTTGGAGTTTGAGTATAAGTGAGCTGTCCATACTACAGTGGGAAACTGAAGGCTCCAAGAAATGTAAGGTAGTTTTTAACGTGTGTCTTAAAGTTCTGAGGTTGTGGCCCGTGATTGAGAACACCTGATAGTTCCTGATCACATCCCTGGGTACAACACAGTTCTGTACCCCTGCCACTCTGAACAATTTGGCATCATGCAGGTGGCTGATCGAGCCATTAGTTTTCTGAGGGGCAAATGAATGAACAGCCGAGATTGAAGGCACGTGCCATTGTGGCGATGAAAAGGCCTTGCTGTACTGTAGTGATTGAACCCTTGTAGCAGATGCTTTACCAGGAAGTGACGAAGTTTGTAAGTACAGTCATTTGGGGGTTAGATAAGAATCAGAGCGGATGTAGGTATATATCTTGTATTAAGTTTGAGGATTGAGAGCGAAATGTGAGGACCGTACGAAATTGTAGGACTACGTACCTACAATTTAATATTCATATGCGTGCTTTGCATGCTCCCATGTTGGTTCTTTTTTTAAGGGGCTTCGGGAACGGGTGGATAAACGGGATCAAAAAATTACAATATGAAAAAGGATGGTGAAGTCACCATCACAATAGAAGTAACAGGCATGAGATGTTCCATTCCTGCTCTCCCGACGTGCCATACTCCAACATCAAAGTGGCTGTAACGGTACATGCCTCCACTATTTCTGCTCTCTCAACACGCCATGCTTCTTTTGCATCACAGTATACCGCACCAGGCCCTCAGAAGTCAGACTTTTTTCTCTGATTTGGGCTTTTTTCTCTGATATTTCAGATTTTTTTTCCTGTGTACTCTGATAAAATCAGACTTTTTTGGGCCTCAACTCTGTAATTTTCAGACTTTTTCTAAGGCTAACTCTGAGAGTTCAGAGTTTTCTGAGAGTGTACTCTGATCATTCAGAGTACAAACGCGTCCTTGACTGGTGATTCGGACTTACGGGTCACAGCAGATTCGCACTGCCAAAGCAAAATCGCCTTGACACAGCAAATCCAAGCCTTACATCACAAGATTTTCGCCCAATCATAGGCAAATCGCCCTGACACAACAGATTTGCGTTGTCAGAGCACCACAATTTTCGCCCAATCACAGCAAAATCGCCCTGACATTGCACATTCGCCTTTTCGCACCACAAGATTCGCCCTGACACATATATTCGCCCTGTCAGAGCATGTTTTATCGAAAATCCCCTTAGTGTAGCATGTTTCGGTAGCAGATTAATGAAACATTGAATACACTTCCGATGAAACATTTAATACATTGATTTTGAATGATCATACTTTTATTTTAAGACACTCTGACATTTCAGCCTTTTTTTTTTTACGAAGTCTGAGATTTTCAGACTAAAATTGTGTACTAGTCTGACGAATCAGACAGGCCTAAAACGAGTCTGAGGGTCTGATTATATCCCATCTGCTCTCAGCATTAGGGTGCAGACTCCAAATAAGCTCCAAATAATCGAGCGTAAGTCTCGATAGGGCTCCACCTTACCCTGATGTTGCATAACTTTCATTCAATCACCGAGACAAATCCCCCTTCCCACATCTCTTTTGCTATGGTTCGATTCAAACTTGTTCTTTGTTGTCTTTGATATGTTTCATATACAACAATTGTTGTTGTTGCCTGTATACACTCATCCACAAGCATTAACGGATCTCCTATGAACACAAAGGGGGCTGGATAGTGGAGAAATTATGAAATTCAAGACCAATCAATGTGGGTGATTGTTATTTTTTGTTATAAGAACTGGAGGCACATGATGGGGTTACTAAGTTCTCTTTGGGGTAGAAATTTTGCGACAATGCTTACTGACATATGACATTATGAGGGATTGTGCCTTACTTGCTAACTGATCAAGTTTGAGAAATTAATAATTTCAAGAACATTACAGAAATGCATATATTCAGAAAAGTAACCAGGTGATGAAGTCTTCAACGGTCCCAGGTTGTTTCCTTTCCGCCACCCCGAACATTGCGCCAGCTCCCCATTGGCGCAGGTGTTGCGCGAAACTTTCAGCTAGGGTCAACAGTCGTTGACTCTGGTTTGACCCATTCTCACCATTACTGGCTGGCTGGCGAACATCGCCTTGGAATTTGCGCGAGAAGTTTCGCCCTACCCCGAAGCGCGCCTGCGATGGGTTTCACCACCGACGCTTGACGCTGTCGCACCGACTGTTGACGCTGTTCTACAGTTCACCGCCACCCTACCTACCACACCACATTCACGAGATATGTACAGTTGTCCAACAATCCTGGGTCTGTACCTGACGGTTCGCTTACAATACATTTGGTGATGTACAAAACATTCTCATTATGATTATACTGCGTTTTGGTGCGCCAGTGTAGTGAAGCTTGAACAGCATTTTGCCTGCGTTCGCCGAATTTACCACGGACAACATTGGGTTGCGTTTATGTCGAAGTTACACTTTCATAATATCTAGAAATTTGTGGGCATTCCTTGGTCTGTCTGGGTGCTCGTGCAGTATTGTCTCTCAGGTACAATCGACGCACCTGGTGGTTGTGTCAAACCACCTGACTGATGCGTTAGGAAATTCTACTGTTCGGAAATCGAAAGCCTTCGGGCCATATAACATAATATCGATACGACGAGAGGTTGTACAACCCGAAGCCATGGAAGCCAGACCAGAAAAATCGCTTCACAGTGCATAACATCCCACTCAACCGTTTATTCTGGAAAGAAAGCGAATTCCCGTGACCTGAAGAAAATAGAATTAGAGCGTGTTACACCTGCCCTAGTCTCAAGGATCACGTAACTAAGATCGCCAATACCTCAACCCTAGGATTACGAGTGGCAAAACAATAATTTTTTGGTGCACATCACAAAACTTGTTGGTGTACCATCTGCAAATTTGCAATGGTGATCCTCTGCGACCAGGCGACGTCGCCTGAAACGACGCGACAGTCGCGATCGTCGGAAATTTTTTGTTGACCACGTTGACTGCGTTACTGATCCGAAATCAACCGCTTTATTGGTTCGAACTTCATCAAAAGAATGCTCTGATTAGTCGCGACGTTGTAAGCAGTTCACGACAACAAAAGTTTCGTCATCAAGGATCACCTTGTCTTTGGTACAAAGATGCAAGGATCACCGAGAGATTGGCAGTCACCACGATCTCCCAAAAAACACCAAGATCGGGTATCACGATCTCTCGTGATTTCGATCCTTCCTCTGTTGGTACATCACCTGACACAGTGATTACTGTACAGTGGTAGGTATGACACTGTTCTGTAAGGATCGCCTACGTGATCCTCAAAATGCAGCAATCTTTGCTTGGGTGTAACACGCTCTTACCACTTGTTTGTGGTTCGCAAACGAATGTTTTTCCCATTCGCCTCAAATATTCTCCTCACCGACTTTCCCTCCCGTGGTGAGCGTGGAGGCCTGTCAAAACAAACATCACTTCCGGGTTGCAATATGCTGCTGCTGGTTGTTGCACGAGGCGCGATTGCCAGACAGCCTCAGATCCGTACAAGCAGTGGCTGCGTGCCCGACAATCGAAGACACGTGACGATCCACAGCCTTCGGCATCATGGATAGGAGCTCTCGATGGAGATCTGTACTGTACCTCCTGCCACCGCCATCCGCGTCGCATGTCATTTCCCGAATAGCACTGTGGGAGGGAGAGATGGACGGTGGAGGAGAGAGCGAGGATGAGAAAGAGCAGGGGAAACCGGGAACTATTTGCTCCAAGGATGCGGGGATGGGGGAAGTTGGAGAGGGAAGTGGGGGAAGAGGGACGAGGGGG